TCTTTTTCTATTAATTGAGGTGTAACTTACAAGCCGGAATAGCTACACGTTAAGAGTACAGCTCGATGGATTTTTACATGTGCTTAAAACCTGTGTAATCCCCACTCGGATCAAGATACACAACACTTCTAGCGCCCCAGAAGGCTTCCTCGGGCCGAGAGGTTATTTTTAATTGTCTTTTTTGCACTTCTCCTGGAATAAACCGGCGAGGGAGTGATCGCCTTCTGAGAACAGGGAATTTTCGGAATTTTCTTGTTTTCGCCTGGCTCTGCTTTGCCAGGCCCTCTTTGGGCCTTGATGTCCCCATAAGGGAAGCCAAGGACTGGCTCCCCTTGTTGAATGGTTTACTGCTTGCAAAGCTTGCTTCAGAGTCTTAGCTAGCTTTGACTCCGATAACTAACCTATGAAGTCAGCACTTGGTTTAAGCCCAGGTTACCCAGGAGAACAGTGTGACTCGGAAAGATAAAATGAATTGCCCAAATTCGGACCGCTCCGCAGTACGCGGTGAAACGTGAGACTTGAACAAAGATCTGTCTAAGCTTGATGGTCATCCTTCCCTCACTCCCCTTTTACTCCTGTATCGGCCTCTTTGAAAGAGCTGTACAGGTAAAATACACTGGGAAAGTGGGCCGTATTTCTGTGCACACATAGTTCCTTCTACCCGAGACGCCTACTATTTGCTCCCAGGTTTTGTCCTTCAGGCAAGCTCCTGCTCATCCTGCAAAACCCACTGGGGCATCGTTTGAAGCCTCCCTCACTGCAATCCTCCCTCACGACTGCCTCCACCACCAAGGATAATTCCGCTCTCCTCCGTGTGGTATTTAACTCCTGCGCAGACACCGCCTCCCACAGTGCCCCCAAGGGCTCTTTGAGGCTGCTTCTGTGCTCACCCTGCCAGCCACCAGCCTGCAGCTGGGCTTCAGCAAATGTGCTCGGGGCTGAAAGCAGAGGTTTTGGAACCTTGGTTTCTCACTGCGTAAAAATAGAGCCGCGCTCGCCCTGATGAATGTCACTCAAGAGAGCTTGGGGGGTGGGATGCTTCCAGAACACCTGGGGCAGAGCTGCGGGAAGAGAAAGGCTGCCCTCAGCCCTCCCAGACTAGGTTAGGGAATGGACTTGTCCTTGCTGTCCCAAGGACGCCTTGGGCTCCCTGGGAAAAGTTCCTTCCTTCTACTGGGTAGTGGTCACTTGTGCCAGAGGAAGCCATAGCGGCCCCTGGTGACCCCGAGGGAGTCCTAGGAGCCGAGGCCCATGGCTCCCCGTTCTTTCCAGGGCCCTATCCAGCGAGAGGCAGCCAATTAAGTGGTGGGCATCCTTAGGATAGATTACACTTGATATCCACACTTTTCTTCCACCCAGAATTTGAGGTATCCGCCAGGATATTCACTTGGGTTTATAACAAAGTGTAATAAACAGTGAGGACCAGGAAGGAAAAGAGATTATTATATCCATTTTTTCCCCTGTAACTCAGTAACTCCCCCACTCTCTCTCCTTTGACTTTGAACATACAATTTGCTTTGTTAATCAGGAAAAAGGAACCCTTGACCTTTGAGCTGAAGGAAGTTTCCCTCCTGGCTTCCCCCCCCAACCGCATTCTGACAGCAGACACGTTTGGGGTGTCGCGAAAGTGAGGCTTGCAGGGATGAGGGACATGCCCAGAAACACCCAGCGTCAGGGACAGAGAGTGGCTGATGGTGCAGGTGGCCAAAGCGCTGGCATGGGCTAGAGCCAAGGGTTTTAAACGAATTGGAGATTTTCTCTCTTCTCCACGAGGAGCTTGGAAAAATGTTCCAGCTTGAAGATGGGGTGGGTATGAGAAAGGCAGGGCGGATTACTAAGAACAGAGTGGAGGAACTTTGGGAGAGAAATGTGTATGTGCCCTAAGGGAGCAAGAGCCAAGTTTGAGCCTCAGTTTCCTCATCTGTAAAATGGGCGTGATGAGCACCCTGCCTTGAGACGTAGGGAGTATATCAGTTTCCTGCGGATGCTGGAAAGACTGGATGCAAGGAAAACCAAGTCACCAGTCAGCAACGGTTTTCCCTTCATTATCCCCATTAACAGATGGGAAAGTGGAGGCCCAAGGAGGGGCCACAGGAGGCTCAAGGCCCTGGGGCCACCCAGCCTGGGTTCTCTCCCCTCCACCACATGGTGGTCATTCCCCAGACCTACCCTGGTCCTGGCCAGTTCCCCTGAGGGGAAGGGGTGCTGGAGAAAGAGAGGGAAGAGAATTCTAGCCTTGCTGTTCCAGCCCCCGCTGGCAGTTGGGGCTGCTTCTCAGGAGGACAGATGTTTCACCAAATGGCAAATGCACGTGCTTTTCCCTGGCTTGGGGAGGAGGTGGGCGCTGAGAAGGAGATGCCAGCTGGGAGGGCAGAGAACCGTAGCCACACCTGAGGGGTTTAAATAGCCACCGCCTTCTCTGGGCGATGCTGGAAGAGAGGCATCTGGGCTGGATTGGCGGGGGGGGGGGGGGGGGGGGCTGAACTCCAGCAGAGAACAGAGCAGCCCATTCAGAACCTGTCACAGCCCCGAGGTGAGTGCCTGGCTCCTTGGCTCTTGCACCTCACCTCCCTGGACCTCCATAGCTGTCACTTGCAAAGGGAGGGTGTCAATCAAGCCTGCTTCAGTGGAGGCTGAACGGATAGAACTAAGTAACGTGCCTGATGCGTGCAAGGCACCCAGTCAGTGCTCAGTACTTGATGGCTGTTGTTATCCCAACCTCCCTACTGGGGCAGGAGTCCCCCCCCCCCCCACATACCTGACAAATGGACACCCACCCCCTGTTCACCCACCTATGGTGACAAGGATCTCATCCTCCCCTACGGACAACGTACTTGTAATGCATTCATTGAATCACATAAACCCTGGGGGCTCCTGGCTGGCTCAGGAGGACAAGCCTGCGACTCTTGATCTCGGGGTTGTGAGTTGGAGCCCCACATTGGGTGGAGAGATTACTTAAAAATAAAATATATTTTTTTAAAGCCATTAATCGTATAAACCCTGGAGTCAGACTGTGTGTTGGAATCCAGGCTCCACTACTTACAGTTCACGTGACTTTAAGCAAATTACTTAACCTGGCTGTGCCTCAGTTTCCCCGGTATAAAATGGGAATGATAGTGGTACCTCCCTCATAATGCTGCTTAGATCAGTGCCTCTCAAACTTCCGTGTGCCCACGAATCCTCCAGGGGTCTTATTTAACCTTAGATTCAGAGTCAATGGGTCTAAGGTAGGGCTCAAGATTCTTTTTTTTTTTTTTTAAGTTTCTTTCTTTCTTTCTTTGAGCGAGAAAGAGGCGGAGGGGCAGAGAGAAGGATCCAGAGAGAATCCCAATTAGGCTTCACACTGTCAGCACAAGCCTGGTGCAGGGCTCGAACCCACAAACCAGGAAATCATGACCTCAACTGGTCAGATGCTTAACTGACTGAGGCGCCCAGGAGCCCCAGGGGCTTGAGATTCTCCATTCCCAGAAGGCGATGCAAATGCTGCTGGCCCTTGGACCACATTTTGAGTCTCAAAGGACTGCCTTGCCCTAAGCAAGGTCATGGTGAGGGAGCCATGCAAGGGGGATGAGTAGGGGTGTGACAGATTCCATGCCAGCAAAGCCTCTCTGGCTGTGGCAGGGATGAGGGTGGGAGGAGGCCACCCTCCTCTTTTGGGAGAGATAAAGGTCCTGGGGTCAAAAGGAGGGTGGCAATAAGGGCCCTTAGCTCATGCGGTCCACTCTTTTTTTTTTTTTTTCTAGGTGAGAGAGAGAGAGAGAGAGACAGCGTGAGCAGGGGAGGGTCAGAGAGAGAGAGAGTCGCAGACTGAAACAGGCTCCAGGCTCTGAGCTGGCAGTCAGCACAGAGCCCGACGCGTGGCTCGAACCCACGAACCGCGAGATCATGACCTAAGCGAAAGTCGGATGCTTAACCGACTAAGCCACCCAGGCGCCCCATCGTGCGGTCCACTCTTAACAGATGCAGAGACCAAGGTCCAGAGAGTGGCTGACCTGCTCAGGCGACACGGTGCTGGGAAGACTCCTGCTGGCCGGTGGTCCTTTGCCCCTCACCCTTCCTGCCTCCCACCCTGCTGGCCGACAGCCCCCAGCCCTCTGGAGTCTCGAAGCCTGTGTTCCTGTTTAACATCTCATTATACCAAGAAGAGGGGGGCGCCTGGGTGGCTCAGTCGGTTAAACGCCCTGCTTCGGCTCAGGTCATGATCTGACAGTTCGTGGGTTCGAGCCACGCGTCAGGCTCTGTGCTGACAGCTCAGAGCCTGGAGCCTACTTCAGATTCTGTCTCCCTCTCTCTCTGACCCTCCCCTGCTCACGCTCTGTCTCTCTCTCTCTCTCTGAAATAAATAAAACATTAAAAAAAAAAAAAAGAGGGAGGCACTGCCGAGGGCCCTGGATGTCTCTGACAGACTTCTTTCATACTCGCATGAACCTCATTTTACAGAGGAGACGACTGAGGCCGAAGGAAGCGGAGGCCCGCAGCACCCCTGCCGGCCCAGAGCTCAGCCTGACTCCGGACAGGAGGACCGTTTACCGCCTTCCCCTCGGGCTGGTCAGGTCAGGACAAGGTGGCTCTGGCAGTTGAACAGGTAAGAGGGCGGGATTGGGGACCCGCTCTTCTCCCCATCCAAGGAGGGAGGAGTCGAACCCCAGGCTGACGCTGAGGGCAGCGGTGGGTCCCATGAATGGGGTGCCACCAAGCCACTAGTTTATGCCAGGCGGCCCCCCATACGCCCTGGCTGCGGATGAGGGGGGCCCCGGGCAGCGAGAAGGGCGCGGTAAGGGGGGCCCAAGGTCACGTGCGGGAGGCCCCGCGGCTGCGGGAGGCGCGGCAGAGGCGGCACGGGGCACGGGGAGGGGGGCGGCGGGCAGCGGGAGCCGGAAGCCCCCCGGCCGGCCCGGCCGCCCCGCCCCGGGGCCCGAGGCGCTGGGACGGGAGGGAGGCGGGATCTCGGGCGGCGGCGCTTCCTGGCTCGCCTGGCACGGCGGCCGTCCTGGCCACGTCACCGCCCGGCCGGGAGTGCGCTGGCGGCGGCGGCGGCGGCGGGGAGCGCGGGGCGCGGGGCGCGGGACGCACAGCCCGGCGCGGGGACGTGGCAGCCGCCTCTCTCCCGCCAGAAAGTTTCTCAGGAGTTGGCTGCGCGCGGCGCGGGGCCGCCCGGGGAACCATGAACGTGTTCCGGATCCTCGGCGACCTGAGCCACCTCCTGGCCATGATCTTGCTCCTGGGGAAGATCTGGAGGTCCAAGTGCTGCTCCGGTGAGGGTCGCCGGGGGCGGAGGGCGGAGGTGTGAGACGGGGCGGGGGAGGGAGGGTCTGGGCCACCCGGGCCCAGCCCGGGCCGCCTGCCTGCAAGGCTTGAGGAGGAGGGGGGGGCTCCCGAATTTCCGTTCAGGGTGGGGACTTCGCCCTGGGGGTGCTTGAAACTGTTTTTGCACAGCTCAGCATTTCCAAAGAAAATGTAAAGGTGTGCCCTGTGGAAGAAGGAGGGCCCTGGAAGATTCTGGAGGGGAGGCTGATTTACCCCTGCCCCACCCCTGCCTGGGCATTGCCACTGCCAGTGGGAAGAGGTGGGGGCGGGTAAGGAGGAGGTGATGCCCTCTTGCTTACCTCGTCGCCCTTGCTCTTTTTGCTCAGCAGGAGCTGGAAGGCCTCTTTCGCTCTGGACCCTCACTCGGGCCTGCAGTGGGATGGAAGGTGGGGGGTGGGGCGGGGCGGTCTGCACACAGGACTGGCCTCCAGTTCTCAGGGTCTTCTCTTTCCTCCCCTCCACCACTCTCCACTGCCCCTTGCAGACAGGATGTCCCCTCAGGCTGGACCCCCTTCCCTCCTCTGCCTGCGTGCGGCACACAAGGCTGTGATGTGGCAGGAGGGACACCAGGCTGGGCCCTGGTGAGCACGGAGCTGCCGCTGAGCGGAAGCCCAGGGAGGGCAGGGAAAGTCCCCCTTTTGCCCACCCGGTGGGCTGGCTGCCCTCCCTGGGGGGTTGGGGGGGGTTGGAGAAGTTTCAGGGTGGGCCTCGTGGTGGCCAAACAGATCCCGTGCATCAAAAGGCTTCCCAGGCCTCCGCAGACATCTTTGTCCGCTGGTGTCCTGGAGGCGCCCACCCTGTGCTGGGCACTGGGGTGAGGGGATACAGAGGCGGGTGCAGGCGGAGCGGGGGAGGGGGGAGGCCGAGGAGGCGGAGAGCAGAGCCCTGAAGTGTTCATGGGGGGAGCAGCTCTGTGCTGGGTCCTGGAGGATGGGCGGGCTGTCCCCAGGCAGGGTGTGCCATGTGGAGGGTGCTGGGGGCGCCCAGGCCTACAGGGGTTGTCCTAGGGAGAGCGAGCAGCCCGATTTGGGGGAGGCCCATAGGGGAGATGAGCGGCAGAGGGGTGGGTGGTCCAAACGGTCAGGCCAGAGAATCAGGCCAGGGAATCGGGACTGTGGAGCCACGGAAGTGTGGGGAGCAGGGGAGGGGCTCGGAGGGACCTGCAGCGGGTCACCCGAAAGCTGGGAGGGCTGCTGGCCATGGAGGAGGGGTGGGTGCTGGCGTGAGAGGCTTTACAGGAGGGAGTGGTTCTGAACCTGCAGGCCATTCCGGTTTTCGGTCTCTGGAGAGATGGGCACTCAGGGGCCCTGGGGTTCCCGCCTGGGGAGGTGAGGCAGGAGCCCTGAGAGGGGGAAACTAACTTGTACTTGGCCCTGCACTTCCGCGGAGGGCCCGAGGCGGGATGAGCAACCGTGACCGGGAGGGGGCGCTGTTCCGCAGCCCACTCTGCCCCGCCCCGCCCCGCGCCCCCTGGACCGAACACCCACAACTTGGGGAGCGGACTTTGTCCCCGTGGGAGACTGTCCGCAAGTGACAGTCGTAGCAACCAAGGAAATGATATGTTTTGTTAGAGGTGCTAAGTGCTACGGGGAAAGAAAAAAGGGCATTGGAGGCTGTGTGTGTGTGTGTGTGTGTGTGTGTGTGTGTGTAGGGGGTTTGGCATATGCCTGGCTGTGACCTGAGGAGGTGAGGCGCCTGGACGCCAGCCCCGTCCCGCCCCAAGATGCGGAGCCTGGTGTGACCCTCACCGACCCACCCGGAAGGTAGGAGGCTGCACTTAGTTCTCACCCAGCCACCGACTCACTGCGTGACCTCAGGCCTCAGTTTCGCCATCTGTCAAATGGAGGGAGGGCTGCCATGTGCTCAGTGGACCCCAGGGGGACTCCGGCCAGGTAGCGGTTCACATTCTCTCCCTTGTCTCACGTCTCTGGGCATGGCGGGCATTTTCCATTGCTTTCAAGAGAGTGTGAAAACCTTTGTGCTCAGGACAGCCAGGGCTCCCAAGCGCGAAGGTGTGAGTGAAGCCCAGGAACCCGGCAGGCTGCGGGTGCAGAGGGGGGAGTCGGGGAGGAAGGCCACGTGCGGAGGGGGTAGCCAAATGTCCCCCACCAGGCTTGCCTCCTGGACCCTCCTAAATGGCCTCCCCGGAGAGGCCTCCTTGAGGGCTCAGCGAGACCGGGTGGCCACAGGCGTGGCCCAGAGCTGGCGTCCGGGTAGCATCGCCTCCTGCACTCCATGCCCCACGCTGGGGGGTGGGCTCCTTGCCCACAGCCAGCCCCAGGCCCCAAGTCCAAGTCCCAGACCCCCAAGGGAGAACACACATTCTCACTGAATCCTACTTAGGTCTCACGTCGGCTCTGTCCCACGTGCGCAGGGGGGCTCATCTCACAGGTGAGGGGTGTGGGACCCAGCCTGGCCATACTGGTAGGAAAGCCAGCACAGGGACGCGGCACGCCTCCCCCCCACCCGAATATTAGGGGCTTCAGCGGTTGTCTCCCTCCCCAAAGCGTCCAGCACCAGCGGGATAGACGAGGCACAGTTCAGGTGTATAAAGGAAGCAGACCCCTTAATCAGGTAATGTCACTCCTCGGTGCCGAAGTCCCCAGTCACTCCATTACACGTAGAGTAAAATCCAGATGTTACCATTGTGACCAGAGGGAGGGGCTGAGGGGGACAGCGATGAGATACGGGGCCAGGGAGGCGACGGGAAAGGCCTGTGTGGGACCTCACGAGCCACGAGGAGAATGAGTCTGTGTTAAAGGGCATTTGGGAGCCACTTAAGGGCTTTAGGTGGAGTTTTATTTTAAAAATAGCCCATTGGTTGGTACTTGGAGTGGGGGTAGGGGTGGCAGCCTCCAAGGAGCTGGGGAGGCGGGGGGGGGGATCCCTGAGGTGGGCCCGGGAGGGGCACGGGACTGGGGGAGGCGGAGGTGGGTGGCTCTTGCTTTCCTGGCTTGAGCTTGGAGGGGACCGCGGTGGCGTTCTGGAAGGAAGGGAGACAGGAGGGGGAGCTTGAGGGGAGACGGTGAGGCAGGAATATAGGAGTCAGAGCCCAGAGCTGGGGACGCCCCTGAAATAGCACAGGGGCAGGGAGAAGCCCCCGGGAGCCCTCAGCGATTAGCTGGTGAGGACGGGAGCGGTCAGAGGCGGCGAGCTAGCAGTGTGGACGGCCGCCAAGCCAGAGGAAGCATGTGGTTCTGAACAGACACGGTGCGCAGCCGGCTCTGGGGAGGCTGCGTGAGTTGACCTTTGGATCAGAAACGCAGGCATCGCTGATGGGAGCGGTTAGGTTAGGGGAGGGGTCGGGACTGGTGTGGGCTTGCCGTGCCCTGGACCCACCTCCCTGGCGTAGCAGAAGTGGCCGGAGGGAGATTAAGGGCCGTGACCGCTAAAGGCAGCTTCGAGTCCTGGCTTGGCTCCCGGAAACAGAAGAAGGGTGTTAGTAGGAAAACGGGTGAAGCCTGAATCGAAGCCTGGAGTTCAGGCAACAGTGTCATGCCAGCGGGCCTATTCGGTAGGGAGCTGGGCGCAGGGTATGCGGGAAGCCTCTGTACTGTCTCGACGATTCTTCCGCGAATCTAACATCAATTCAGAATAAAAAGGTAAAAAAAAAAAAAAAGGGGGGGGGCGCCTGGGTGGCTTAGTCGGTTAAGCGTGACTTTCGCTTAGGTCATGATCTCGCGGTTCGTGGGTTCGAGCCCCGCGTCAGGCTCTGTGCTGACTGCCAGCTCAGAGCCTGGAGCCTGTTTCAGTCTGTGACTCCCTCTCTCTCTGACCCTCCCCTGCTCACGCTGTCTCTCTCTCTCTCCTAGAAATAAATAAAACATTAAAAAAAAAAAAAGAGACCAGAGCAGGTGAGGAGATAGCATGAAAGGTGTGACCCCAGTTTTGTCACCTCCATGTGGTCGTGCAGTTGTCTGCGCGCAAGTGTGTGTTGTGTGATCAGCAATATCTGAAGGGCGCTCAGAGTCTTTGAGATTCGGGTGTGGCTGTGGCTTTTTTATTTCTATCTCTGTATTATCTGCTTTTTGTTTTACAAGAAGTAAAACTAGGTATTACTTTTTTTTTTTAATATTTTATTTATTTCTGAGAGAGAGAGACAGCGTGAGCAGGGGAGGGTCAGAGAGAGAGGGAGACACAGAATTTGAAGCAGGCTCCAGGCTCTGAGCTGGCTGTCAGCACAGAGCCCAACGCGGGGCTCGAACCCACGAACCGTGAGATCATGAACTGAGCCGAAGTCGGACGCTTAACCGACTGAGCCACCCAGGCGCCCCAAACTAGGTATTACTTTTATCACTTAAAAAATAAAGCATCTTGAATCTTTACGATTTGGCAAATAAAAGAGAATGGTCCTCAGGCCCCTGCTGCTTGGTCCGCCCGCTCAGGTCTCCCTGGGGAATCAACTCCCTGTGAAGTCAGTGAGTTGCTGTCTAAAAGGCAGAACTTTGGGGACTCAATGGAAGCGTGAGGATGGAGTGAAGAGAAGCCTGGACCCCCTTCGCCGCCCCCACCCCACTACCCATACCCCCTCCAGAGCCGGAATCCGGGCAGGCACACGTAGGGGCACCGGGATCCCTGAGATCGAGACCTGAGCTGAGATTGAGACCTGAGCTGAGATTGAGAGTTGGACACTTAACCCACTGAGCCCCCCGGGCGCCCCCCACGCACCGGGCTTCTTGAGTGTCAGGGGCGCCCAGGAGTCTGTCTCATTTTCTCGTCTTCTCGTTTGGCCACAGGCATCTCTGGGAAGAGCCAGATCCTTTTCGCTCTCGTCTTCACCACCAGGTACCTGGACCTGTTCACCAACTTCATCTCTGTCTACAACACAGTCATGAAGGTGAGGGGGGGGGTGGGCGGCCGTGGTGGCGGGGCCCGCGGAGCCCCGACAGACGGGGAGCGTGCGCTTGGGAACACCGGCTGTGGAGCCAGGCAGACCCGGGTGGGAATCCTGACCGTGTTGGTGGCCGCTGGGGGACCCGGGCTTAGGCAAGGCCGTGGGCCCCCGTGCACCTCATCTTCAGAATGAAGATAATGCTAGTACTCAGAGGGTTCTGTTGAGAACATGAAATGAGGCAGTAAACGCAAATACACAATAGCCGTCGCATATTAAATATTCGATCGAGCTTAGCTATTATAATGGTTAAAAAATGAGCAAAACATCAAACGTGGTACCTTGAGCTTTCAGAGAGGTTATTCCTCTGATATCCATCTGACAAGTATTTATTGAGCACCTGCTGTGGGCCAGGTACTTGAAGAAGCCCTGTTCTCACGGAACCTCCGTTCTAACTGGGAAGACAGATAATAAAACAGCCAGGAAAGCTTTGGGTCGGGGTGAGGTTATGCAGATATTATTAAAATAGGGTGCTGTTTCCTTTCACTATTAAAAATAAAAAAAGAAGTTTTAAAACCTGGGATATGTGATAGAGAACGAATGGGAAGCTGTTCAGGGAGCGTGACCAGGAGGGGCCTCTCTGAAGAGGTGACACGGGAGTCAAGGTCGTGTGACACAAGGAACGAGCCACGGGATGATCAGAGGAAGAGGATTCCAAGCAGAAGGAATGCCTGGTGCAAAGACCACCGAGGCAGGATCAAGCTTGGTGCCTTTGGAGGACAGCCGGGGAGGACGGCCGAGGGCTGGGGGAGGGAGATGCCGCCCGAGGGCTGGAGGAAGGCCGAGGGCACAGGCGAACAGTTTGGAAACTAGTGCTTGGAAGCATGGTCCTGTTTCACAGGGGAAACCAAGCAAGTCTCGGTTCTATTCTGATGTCGTAGGCTCTGGGCCACAGCTGTTAGAGGTTCTGTTGGGGTGGGCTTTTTTAAGTCAGCCATCCCAGCTCTTTTGCAGAGCTTGGGACTTGAACCCAATGTGGGGCTTGAACTCGCGACCCCAAGGTCGAGAGTCACATGCTCTGCCGACCAAGCCTGCCGTCTCCCCCAGCCATCTGAACTCTTTAAGGCAACACAGGTTAGTGGGAGGAGCCCAGGTTTCAGAGTCAGTGAAAGGGAAGGTTACTGTGTGGATGCTGGTAAGAGAGACTTAAAATAAGAGTTATCTTAATAAGATAAAGGCTTATTTTTACCTTACTCATAACTTGGAATCCGGAGGTGGGGCGTCCAGGGCTGAGATGGCAGCTCCTTTTGTTTTTTTGAGACGAGAGAGGGCCCATGAGCAGGGGAGGGGTGGGGCAGGGGGAGGGGAAGAGAACCCCGACCAGGCTTGTCAGCGTGGAGCTCGATGCGGGGCTTGAACTCACAAACTGTGAGATCATGACCTGAGCCAAAACCAAGAGTTGGACTGACTAAGCTAACTGACTGAGCCCCACAGGCTCCTTCTGACTTTCTGCTCCACCATCTTTAGTGTGACCCGGACTCACAAGTGCATGCCACATGCAGTTGCTCAGAAGAGCCTTGCCATTGCCATCTTGAAATTCTTAATTTTTTTTAAACATTTATTTATTGTTGAGAGACAGAGTGTGAGCAGGGGAGGGACAGAGAGAGAGGGAGACACAGAATCTGAAGCAGGCTTCAGGCTCTGAGCTGTCAGCACAGAGCCCGACACAGGGCTCGAACTCACGAACTGCAAGATCACAACCTGAGCCAAAGCCGGACGCTCAACCGACCAAACCACCCAGGTGCCCCTTGAAATTCTTAATTCTTAAAGAGACACTGCAAATTGTATAGGAAGCCCTAAGGTGGCAGCTAGCCTCAAGGTTGCCTCAGGATCACCAAATGGATGCTAGGGCTCCTACCATCACATCGCATTCTGGGCAGGAAGGAGGAGGAAAGGAAGAAAGAGCAATAAATAGGGTACCTGCCATCTGGGTAAGCCCTTTGTAAAGAGCTTTCCCCAAAGTCTACCTAGTGAATGCATGTCACTGACCATCCTTATCTGCAAAGGAGCTGAGAAATGTAGTTTTTAGTTGGGCACATCATCTAATAGTTCCATTTTTAAAAAAGTTTATTTCTGAGAGAGCGCAAGCAAGCACGAGCAGAGGAGAGGCAGAGAGGGAGAGAGAAACCCAAGTAGGCTCCACGCCGTCAGCACAGAGCCCAACGCAGGGCTCCATTTCATGAACCGTGAGATCATGACCTGAGCCAAAATCCAGAGTTGGATGCCTAACTGACTGAGCCGCCCAGGCGCCCTGCTACTAGTTCCATTTTTAAGGAGAGAAGGCTACGAAATGGGGAATTCTACCGATTCTGCAGGGCTGTTGTGAAGACTCTATGAGAGAACATATGTAAAGCACGCGGCACCCAGATGCTCTCTCCTCCGTATCGGAGCTGGGACCCTGGGATTCCAGGCGCCTTGCTGGCATGGAGGACATTGTTACCTGTGGGGTGTTGAACTGCGTGAGCTTGTCTGAGGTCCTAAAGTCACAGTCTACTTAAACTCACCACAGAAATAGCAACCACCACGTACCGAGTTCATGTCTCTGCCTAAGGGTCGGACTTGAACGGTCCTGGGAGGGACTGAAGACCCAGCCCTTGGCGTGGCAGAGTAAGTTGTAGGAACCTGAGAGGCCAGTTTCTGCGTTTCTGGAGTTAGAAAGTGACCACCACTTCATTGATTCATTGATTCACTCATTCCGGGACGTTTTGCGCTGGGCCCCGAGTTAGGGGCTGGGTATTCAGAGGTGGACATGACAGTCAGGACCCTCTTACAGAAAACGGAGGAAAGAGACTGGCACACAGACATTTACAGAGCACATGATTATGGGCGGCAGTGTATACGTCCCCAGGGAGCTATGGTGACACAAAGTAGATTTGCCTCATTCCGGTGAGAAACGGAGTTTTAAAGCACAAACAGGAGTTCTCTCGGCCAGTGAGTTTCTGGACCGGCAGCATCAGCATCACATAAGAACTTGCTGGAAATGTAAACCCTTGGGCCTACTCAGACCTACTAAATCAATAACTCTGGGGGCAGGAGGGGGAAAAGGTGGCTATTTATGTGTATTTATGTGATTCCGATGCACACGTTTCAGAACCTCCTGCCTAGAAGGTTAGAGGCCCAACCATAAAATCACATGCTGGAGGACAGCTACCGTAATTAGAGCTTTTCTGGGGCGCCTGGTGGTTGTTAGTTACGTGTCCGACTCTTCACTTCGGCTCAGGTCATGATCTCAGTTCGTGAGTTGGAGCCCCGCATCAGGCTCTGCACGGACAGCATGGAGCCTGCTTGGGATTCTGTCTCCCTCTCTGCCCGTCCTCTGCTTGTTCGCTCTCTCAAAAAAAAAAAAAAGGAACAGAGCCCAGGTGGCTCAGTGGGTTAAGTGTCTGATTTCAGCTCAGGTCATGATCTCATGGTTCGTGAGTTCCAGCCCCTAATCTCCCTGCTGTCAGCAAAGAGCCTGCTTTGGATCCTCTCTGCACAGGCCCCTCATGCTCTCCCTCAAAAATAAACATTTAAAAAAAGAGAGAGATGGGGGTGGCTCAGTTGGTTGAGCATCCGACTTCGGCTCAGGTCATGATCTCACAGTTCGTAGGTTTGAGCCCCACGTCGGGCTCTGTGCTGACAGCTCGGAGCCTGGAGCCCACTTCAATTCTGTGTCTCCGTCTCCCTCTGCCCCTCTCCCACTTGTGCTCTCTCTCAAAGTAAATATTAAAAAAAAAAAATTTTTTTTTAAAGAGCACTTTTCTGCAGGAGCAACGACCAGCTCACTCAGAGGACGTTGTTAGTCCTGGTGGAAGAATGCTCACCAGTCGCTGATGCAGATCTAGGACTGATCTTTCGGAGCCCCGGAACGCCACTGCTAACTCCCCCGGACAGACACCAACCCCGTCTCCTACCCGGAGATGCCTACGCACCTTTGAGTCCTCACTCTGTTAGTGCCAGTGGTCTTAACGAGAAGCCAGGAGTTACTTCACAACAGGGTCATTAGGTTCAGAATCCAGGGCAAAGCCTCCAGAGAAACTGCAAACGCCGTTCCCGTCTTCCCCCTTGGGGCAAGAGCGCTGGCCCTTTAGTTACGTTGGTCCCCAACTCAGGGTGGCTTGGAAGCCCAGCAAGTAGGCTGGACAAGGACCCCCATGTGTCTCTTTGCCTTGCCAGGTGGTTTTTCTCCTCTGTGCCTACGTCACAGTGTACATGATCTATGGGAAATTTCGGAAAACATTTGACAGTGAGAATGACACGTTCCGCCTGGAATTTCTTCTGGTCCCGGTCATTGGTCTCTCCTTCCTTGAGAACTACAGTTTCACTCCCTTGGAGGTAAGCGAAGGGACCCAGACTAATTCCAAAGGGTAACACATTCCCCAACATTCTTCCCTCTGCATCTTTTTTAATATATGGGCTTGCATTTTGGTATGACCGTGACCATTACACACTGTTGTTAGTGCAGAAAGTGGTAGTGAGCTATTCACGCTACTCCATTTGAAAATGGGCACTCCAAACAGTCCTGTAGGTAAACAAAGCTGGCATCACAGCGCCCTTACGGTTACTGAGACCTTCTGAGACCCCCCTCATGGCTACTAGTGCACAGTCCAGGCTGAGACTGCAGGACATCTGGGCTGTGGACCAAGAATCTGTGCGGCAGCAAACATGAGGAACTTCCAATGCTAGTGCATTTTGAGAAACTATGGCTTCCATTAAGGCGAATTTATAAAGTTCTGCTACAATTAAAAATTGCGTCCTAAAGAACTGTTCATGTGACGTTTTGAAAAAAGCAGTTTAAACTTTTAAAAAAATATCTTCTATTATCAGAGAAAAGGGGGGGGATGGGTTCTATGTTGGGAACTTTTTGTTTCACTGTATTTGGTCCCATAAACATGTTAGTAATTACCTTCTTTTGAAGAGACGGGCTCCTTCTCGGTCTTGACCAGCCTCCTCTGGCCACTTCTCTCGTTGGCTCAGATCCTCTGGACTTTCTCCATCTACTTGGAGTCGGTGGCCATCCTGCCCCAGCTCTTCATGATCAGTAAGACCGGAGAGGCTGAGACCATTACTACTCACTACTTGTTCTTTCTCGGGCTGTACCGGGCACTCTACCTGGCTAACTGGATCAGGCGGTACCAGACTGAGAACTTCTATGACCAAATTGCGGTGGTGTCTGGAGTAGTACAAACCATCTTCTACTGTGACTTCTTCTACTTGTACGTGACCAAAGGTAGGTGCTCCACCACAGCAGTGTTGCTGGCGCTGGCGGCTGCTACCCACTCAATATTTGAGGGCACTGGGAAGTGAACATGGAGCTACCACTCTCTCTCTGCCCCTCATGGTGCTTTTATTTCAATGGGAAGAGACGAACAAGTATTTTTAGGCCACAAGCACATGAAAAAGGACAGACCAGGAAGACAGGGTATGTACCGTACACACACGGTATACAGAGAAGACAACGATGAGAGGACACTGGACAGAATACTTGTTAGAAACACAGACGAGGAACATTCCAGAGAATAGCTTGCGTAGGAGCCCTAAGGCAGGAACCAGCTTGGTGTGATAAAGGACAAAAAGGCTAGTATGTTTAGAACCTACAGACCCGGAGACGGAGGCTGACGGGTTTGCATCACATGGACTGCGCAGGGCAGCCACCGGCGGGCGGGCTCGTGTGCAGGACCAGCAGCTGCTGTGCAGAGTGGAAGGCAGCGGAAGCAGGGAGACTAGTTATGGTGAAGGCGCAGTTGTTCAAGGTCACCAGTGGGTGGGCAGTTGCACTGGACAGATAGGAAACATTAAGTGGAAGCCAGTGACATTTGTGGCCTAAGGCAGAGTGGGATCGGTATTGTGGGTGGGGGGCGGGGGTGGGGTCACTGAGTCTGTAGTTCATCTGTAAGCTTCCCCCTTGGCTGTAACATGTAAAACCTACTATGAACTGGGCATTAGAGATCCTAAGATTATGTAGTCGAAAGGGAGTTATCTAACTTCATCTCCATTTTCTTCTAGTCCTTAAAGGAAAGAAGTTGAGTCTTCCAATGCCAATTTGAGGGTCCCAGAGATGGTTCTACCCTTGTAACAAAGACACAGAACAAACCATTTGAAATATTCTCCTGGATGACTTCTACAGGACTCGGGCCAAATGTTAGTCAAAAATGCTTAGTGAGGATATTTCAGCAGAGCACTGATTGTTCTACCTAGAAGACGTTCTCACCAATCTCTCCCTTAAATTATAGCAGCAATAAAAAAAAAACCCAGGTCAATTAGAGGAGCATGGTGCCTCATCTCAACTGGACATCAAAAAAATCTTAGGTGCTTAACCCCACACATGGGGCAAATAAGCAACTGCTCTCCATGGCCCTAGTGTGAGCCTCCCACTAAGGAAGAGTCAGTACCGCCTGGAAAGTGGTCTCGGTGTAGAAGACAAATGCCCCCGAGAGCTCAGACCTCAAGCAAAGCACGCTGCTGTGGTGCTTTTCACTTGCCAGGTAGGAGGCCAAGTGTAGGCAGTGATCCAAAGCTGATAGTCTTACAGGGACGAAGTGTTGTGACTTCATTTCCAACCCGCCTTCAGAGGCCACAGACCAAAGCCAAGTGTATCGGCTTCGGCCAGCTGTCAGCAGCCACACGCCTCACCTCTAAACTGGACTTGAGTCTTGCTTTGGTGACAGCAGCTCCACACAGAGCACTTAGATCCAGGTAACAACTCACATCTTTCCAGTAAGACCGCTCGATCCCACCTCCCTTGCACGTTTTTAGGTGCTAAGGTTATTACTCAATCTGACATTCCCCAAACTTGGTCTTGAAGCAAATAAAAACTGTTAAGGAAACCACCACCGGACTGTGGTCAGAGAATTTTTAAGCAATAAAAAGCTCACACCTTATTGTCAACAGTGTTTTATTTATACCTACAAAAGAAAACAAGATGGTATCAAAAGGACAATTTACAAACTAAGAATAGTAACACAGCTCTTAGCATCCTGTGCCTGCACATCACACATCTACACATCTTTCAAGTCTTAATGCAACAGGAATGTGTTCAGAGGCCAGCGAGAACGTGAATAGAGAGCACTGATCCCAAGCAAAAGCCACCAACCTTTCAGATGAGAGAAGTCCACACAATGAATGGTTAGGGAGGAACTGGGGAGAAGCAGCCCCACAGCTTAATATTGAAATCCTTTCCCTAAATGAGTTTGAACCATGACTGCAGGAACTAGCCTCATAGGAGGACTCTTCTGCTCATGATCTGAAGCAAAGGCAGAGCCTAAATTGTGGGAGACAGACGCAGAGGCAGAAGAGTTACTCTAAAGCTGTATAGGAAAAACTCTGCTAGATCTCAGCTGCGCTCAGGCCACAATAGCTTTTGAGATTTGGGGTATGCTGTTCTTCTGACTTTATGACCACGTCATCATCCCTGGTGGGAAACAGGAAGCCCAGAGACCCTCCCCACAGAGGGATGCTTTAAGACCTGCAAGAGAGTAAATAGGACACCCCTTACGGTGGCACCTCTGTTTAAAAATAATCACAATTCTGATGTAGAAAGAAATGTCTACAATGGACTGGCCAATGCTCAGACAAAAATCTTTGCGGCGGGGGGCACTTTGGTTTGAAAGCACAGGGCAGTTCTGCCCATGTTTTCCTGTGCTTACCATCCTCCCTCGGCCTCAACTTCTCTAAGAAGGGTGGGGGGGGGGAACAGAAGTAAAGGAAGAAGAAAGCGTGGGGGGGGCTTAGGGGGGAACGACATGTCAAAGTTCTTACATGCATATATTTCAGCTTATGCTGACAACCTACCTGTATGTTGCACATTCAACCATACTTTTCAGAACCCCTCAGAAACCATCCCTTCTCTCTCCCTGAAGAATTTTAAAAAGAAAAGAAAAACAAAAGAACCTCAAGTATTTAGATATTACAAATCAGCAGGCACCCTCAGGCCTTAGCCAAAGGACGCAGTGGAGCCTTCCCCCTTTAACTGCATTGTTAATGAACCACACCAATAGCATAAAAAAATAATAGTCCAACACTGGATATGGAAGAGGTTTCTGGGGCTGTCTGATCTCCCTGTCCTGTTACGGTGAACACAAGGGCAGAAAATTCTTCCCAGGCCCATGTGCTACGGGAAGTCTCAGGTAAACAGTAGCACTATGAAGGGGACAGACTCACCTACCTTCAAGAGGAGGAAAAATGAAAGGACTTAGGCTTTAGTCCTCTGTAATTTCTCCTAAGCACTACCTACCTGTAAAAAGCTGAGTGCAAAAGGATGCCGAAGAAAACGTGCACCCCAAAGCTGTTACAACCAAGCACTGCAGAGAAGAGTATGAAGAGAACGAAGAGTTCTTTCTTAACGGACCCTGAAAGTTCTTTATTCAAGAGAATTTGGCCGAAAGGGCGGAGTAGCTGGAGAGTTGCTTTTATTCTAGCTCTATAGATACTGAGTTTAAAACGAAACTTTGCCATATTTAAAGGTGGCTTTTATACGGCAGGTGAACGCATACGTAACTGGTTACATTATTTAACTGGCTAATAAATTTTCAGTGAACACTTATGTTCATTCTGCCCAGAGCAGCTATTCTAGTTGGAAAATGAATTTCACAGATGGTCCCTGGTTATGTGGGGAAGAAAAATAGGCAGCTTCCACCCAGATGCCGAGATGCTACATTTAACCATTTCAATAAACACTTGGGGTTTTTAATTTAAAAGATACACTTAAGAAACTCAGACTCAGCAATTCAATGTCTAACCTGACTAAAATGGTTATTTTTCAGTAATTGGGAAGGGGCAAGGCAGAATATAAGGGAGACAAAACCAATTAGGAATTTTGTTTTAACTGTCAAATGCACTTAACAAGCAATCAGCCAAGACGACAATGGCAATGCATTGTCTTAAAAACTCATCAGCCCAAGTAACATTAAAAAGTATTACAGAAAGTGTGCAGGGAATTCCCTCTTGGTTTTCTAACCCAGTAATGAGAGCAATCTACAGCACAGTGCCACCTTCTTCTGCAGAATTCAACCCTCTACCCGCCCCCCCATTCCCCAACTCAGGGAAACAAAAATGGGCTCCTGCAAAAGGGCCTAATACCTTACTTTTTCTTTTAAGATGAAAAATAGCTCAAGTATCCTCAACATGCAAGAAGTTGGGGAGGGGGGAATCTCTTCCAGTCGGCTATATATATGTTTTTACAAAATCTGTTATTTCAGACTGGATCATTTTGGCGGACAGAAGAAACCTGGCAGTGAATTCTAACTAATCTGCATGAAAGACAAATCACAATGGTTGGGGGAAAAATAAAAAAGAAAAAGAAAAGGGGAAGAGAAATAAAAGGGAAAGACAGCGTTCCTTTAAATGTAGTTAAGTCTGCGCAAGTCACTACCACTCAAGTGGTTTCATTTACGTGAAGGAGGAGGGGGTGGAGGGGGAGGGGGGTACTGATAGGCAGTCTGCCCCATGTAACCTATCATATTGGTAGCTCCCGGAGGCTGTGCAAACTGTTGTGACATCAGCGGCTGCGGCTGCTGCCCAGACCGGCCTATCCCACTAAACTGCTGGCTAGAGCTCTGTGAACTTCTCCCAGTTGAGGCGGTGCTACCAGCCCCGTAAGTGCCAGCGCCATATTCCTGGGCCGTATAGCCACTGGTGCCATAAGCAGCCGCCCCATAGGTGCCTTGACCATAGGTGTATTGGCCTGCTTGTGCTCCAAAGGCAGAATTGGGACTTCCATAGCCACTGCCGTTAGCATAACCGGCTCTATCGGTTTCACTACGATCCCGATAGCTTGCAGAGTCTCTCCGGCCACCATCCTTGACTCCTCGAAGCCTCCGGTCACACTCATCCTGATACATCAGATTGGGATTGTTGGCAGAAGAAGTGGTCCGGTACCGAGAACGACCTCCTGATGGGAGGACACGAGGAATTTTTAATGCCAGAAATACAACCCAAGCACAGCCATGTGTGTAAACAACTCTACCAGGTACAGAAGTAGTCAGCATTCTCTGATCTGATCTTTACCCAGGCCAGCCTCCAAATCAGTGACTTTAAAATATACGCATAATTTGGGGCACCTGGGTGGCTTAGTCGGTTAAGCGTCCAACTTTCGCTTAGGTCATGATCTCGCGGTTTGTGGGCTCAAGCCCCGCGTCGGGCTCTGTGCTGACTGCCAGCTCAGAGCCTGGAGCCTGTTTCAGTCTGTGACTCCCTCTCTCTCTGACCCTCCCCTGCTCACGCTGTCTCTCTCTCTCTCCTAGAAATAAATAAAAAAAAAACAAAACAAAAAAAAACCCCATAATTTGACTCTTGAATAGGATATATTCAAAAGAATGGTCAACATGAAAAGATAATCAATTTCTCACCACTGTTAAGTCCTTTATTTTGAGGATTATTAAGAAATCGTATCTCACAAATGTAGCAACAATGGTAAAGAAGTGGAGGCGACTTACTGCAGATTAAAAATAAAAAGACGAGCGGCTAAGTCGCTAGGACCCTACAGGGACCGTCTACTAGTGCGCACCAGCTCTTGGGTGTTACTCTGTGGGCCAAGCTGCGTCAGAATTCTCTCACAGACTTTAAGCTCCTAGGCTGAATTTCAAGCCCACTCACGAATGAAAACCAAAAACTTGTATTTTAAAAACTTCTCAAGTAATTCAGACATAGAGCTTTGGCATGCAGTAAGTTTGGGACAAAATAATACCGAAATGGTAGTTCAGAAGCCACGATCCTAGCGTATTTTGCAACTATCCAATGTGTTTTAAAACGGGCTTCACGCCCAGTGAGGAGCCCACCAAGGAGCTCGACTCATGACCCTGAGATCAAGAGTTGGGATGCGTAACTGAGTCACCCAGGTGTCCTGGAACTAATCCAATTTTTAGATCCATTAACTATGCCTGTTTCTACTGCCACAAAATGGTATAAAATTACTGATCTCCTCACATGAAAAACTAAGAACCTAATGCGCTACACTAAAGCTTTTGAAGGCATTAAAAATAACCATAATTCAGCTTAATTCTGAATAGGCACCATGTACTTCACAACACAAAGGTCGGTTTCCTATCACTGTCCACAGAAATACCATGCTGCAGGAGGGCGGCCACGACAGCCGCCCCACCCTTCACACCATCTTACTTAGAAAAGATCATGAAAAACTATTAATCACTGTCCTCTGTTATTAAGTAACACACTTAGGAGCCTTCACAGGACTTTAAAAAAACAAAAAACAAAAAACCAAAAAACCCCCCACAACAACAAGAGGCACAATGAGCCCAAAAAGATACCTTGGCAGTACCTGGAGAACTCCAGGACTTACCCTTACCCCCTCCTCCGCCGCCTCCTCTGTGGTCCACCAGCTGCATCAGTTTGGGATTGATAGCCTGATTAGCCTCTTCCAGCACTTTGATCAGCTCTCGGGCCTGCTTGAGGTTCCCTGGGGTGAAGAAGGTGTAGGCGGTGCCCTTGTTGGTGCTACGGGCTGTTCGGCCAATGCGGTGCACATAATCCTCCGAGCTGTTTGGATAGTCATAGTTGATCACAAACTTGACATCTTCCACGTCTTCGAGGCCAACGAAGAGTCAGCGTGTAGGTTGACGTGGCAGGGAAAGAGAAGGTAAAGGACATGCCAACAACAGGTGGGAAGCACGAATGCAGGTGACAGCAAGAGGAAAGAAGATCAAGTTAGTAACCACTCTGAACAGGAACAAAAAAAGACTCATCCCAACAGAGTAAAAGAGGATGAATGATTCTTGGGACATGCACAGGAAGTGGCCGCCTTCTCAGCTGTAAAACCCTAATGGAATCCCCTTCAACCACCCGAACTCTTGCCTCTTCTGGATTTTAACCAACACACTGGGCAGGAGTTGTATCGAATGCCAGCTCCTTTTCAAAACTGGAAATG